TAAACAAACATAAACTAATCACCAATCAACCAAGTTTCAAAAGCAACAAATAGTTCATAATTTGTAAACATTCAAAGAGCAAATAAAAAAAAACTCCCAAATCCTACTTATCGGCCAATGAAGCTGATATTTAGAGCCTATTTATCGGCTGATAAGTGCCTTTATCGCCGATAACTCGCTGATAAACCTAAAAAAACGATAAGTGATTAAAAATCCTAGTTATCTTAGCGGAAAGCTCCCAAATCTGATAACTCAGTGATAATAATGGATTATCGGCCGATATTTAAAACCATGACTATAAATAACTCGACAATGAGATTTCTTAGCCAAACACCTTAAGTTGTGGCTTCATAACATATTACATACTCAGCTCGCATGGAGAAGAGATCACAAGAGTTTGTTTAACACTTTTCCAAGAAAAAAACCACAAGATCCTTAGATTAAACCACAAAATTCATAAATTAACACTTTTCTAAAATAATTAATTTAGAATTACCATAAAATTCATAGATTAAATCATAATGAATTTAGAATTTCTGTGGAAACTCAAATATGAAAAATCCCAACTTGCTTTCGTTGCCACCAAGCCCTTATAAAAAGAAGGGAAATAAACCCATATTTAATGCTTCTAAGAAAGTTAAAAATAAGAAATTTGAAGTAGGTCAGATTAGCAATGTAGGGGGCCTAATGCCATCATTAAGAAATAGATTAATTGTTTCTTTTGTAGAAAAGAAAGGTCATGAGAAACATGATTATCTCAAATTTAAAGCTTGATTAGAAAAACGTGAGCATAAAGACAAAGGTAACTTCTTGGCTCTTGTTTTATGTGAATCCAATTTGATTGAAGAAGGTAACTTCTTGGCTCTTGTTTTATGTGAATCTAATTTGATTGAAGCATCCTCAAGTTCCTAGTGGCTTGATAGTGGTGCAACTAATCATGTTGCTTTCAATTTAAAGGGACTCGTAAGCAAGAAGAAACCAAATCAGGATGAGTTAAAGCTTGCGGTTGGCAATAATGAAATGGTGAAAGTCGAGTTCGTCGGAGTCCTCTGCTTAAACTTAAATTCAGGCTTTAAGTTTTTGTTAAAGACACTCGATCTCTATATACCATAAAGCTCTAAACTCTACATCATGGTGATAACTGTCATTTTGCGACACAGGTCCATCCATGGTCACAAGAGTATGTGAACCCTATCAATATGAATGAGAATGACACTTAGAGTTGTCTCAAGTTCAAAAGTTTTCTTAGGCCCCTATAAAGTTTTATAAAATTTTATTGGCTTGAAAGTCTTTTTGTAAATATTATGTATATGCATAAAACTATTTTCAAAACTAATGCAAATTACTTTTGTCCAAGTGGGAGAATGTTGTAATTGTTATTGATGGACATTATTAATTAACTTTTGAGTTTTTGTCAAAAACAAGCCAAACATGATATTTAAATGAGACAATAGTAAGTCCAATTAAGTGATCAAATAAAGAAGGTTTGACTCTAAGTGAAAAGTAGGATTATTAATGTAGGCTTTAATGAATATTGGTTTTGTGATAGGTGGACCTATGTTCATTAGTAGTTACTAGGGCTAGGTTTTCCTTTTGGCCAAAAATAAATGAGTTAATTCATATGTTGGAAACTGGTGTACATTCTCTTTGAATGAACTGTTTAACTTACCAATTTCCTTTACATACTTCCATTCTTTATCTCTTTCCTATCCGAGAATAGAATAACAAAAGCATTTGAGGTTTTGGAATAAAAGATAAGTTCTTAGTGCATTATCAATTTGTCAATTCCGTTCTGTTGCTTTCATCAATATGGACACGAAAATAGTACGCAATTTATTTCCTTTATATTGTTGTTCAATATTCTAAATTCATTATCATTTAATCTATGAATTTTATGGAAATTCTTTTGTAGTTTTTCTAAAATTTGGTACACTTTGCTTTGGTTTTCTTAGCTACAAAACAACCCCTCAAAGGATACATATTTAATTGTGAGATCCCTATATCACAATAACATACATATTAATCCTCCTATCAACTAATACTCTATGTAAATTTATGAGATTAGACCTTCATATTCATTGTCAATCCGAAACTTATATGTGCATAAGTTCTGGACCACTCTCCTTTATAAATTAGGTCTCTAATTTAGTTGCAATCTTGCAACAAACTACCATTTTCACACAAAGGATAGAGATTTAATAGCGAGATCCCTATATCACAATAATGTACATATAAGGCATTCTGTCAAAAAATATTCCATATAAGTTTATTGGATTAGACCTCCATAGTCAATGTCAATTCCAAAATGTGTATAAGTTTTGAACTTCTAAATATGTCCTACAAAGGTAAATTAGAATAAGTAAAATCATGACCTTTGATTCCTTTCCACTCAAATTGGACAGGAAAGACATCGTTGTGGTGTGAGGCCTTCATGTCTTGGGCTTCGAACGAGTAAAGAAGGGATCCGGTCCGCTTACTCCTTATTTTTATTTGGGTGGGATCTTGACTGTGTGTCGATATGAATAAGTTGAGGATCTCCATTGACTATACAATGAGATGGAAGGTGTTAACATCACCCCTTTGTAAAAGCTTGTGTCTTGGAGGAAGAGTAGATTTCGGTGATGAAAATTAAAACTTCTTTTCTCACGCGGGTCCATTAGCGAACCCTCTTGTGAGAAGAAAGTAACTCTAAGAAAGAAGTTCCTCTTGGGTGTTGTATTACCCTTTAAGAGGATATTACTCATTGAGGAGTGGTAGCTCTTGGGTGATTAGGAACCCTAGTGAGCAAACGTCGATTAAGAAGTGATAGGTCAATAAGAAAACCCTAATTAAGAGGATGTATGCAACTCAAAGAGCCAAGGAGAGCTCAATGTAGCCCAAGGAGCCCTCTAGAGCAAGAGCAACTCTACTAGAGAAGAGAAGAGCTCAAACCCAAGATAAGAAAATTTGAATAAAAATTTGGAGCCATTTGTTGTGCGCTAAGGGTCTGTATTTATAGAGGAACCATTGTTTACGCAAATTTAAGGATTTATGCGCAATTAGCCTTATGCGGAGGGGAAGTTTACACATGGTTAAATTTACGCGAGCTCTTATGGCAGCTTTTCAAGGTACGAACATCTAACGGATAGTGACACTGTGTCCTTTGCAACAACGTTGGTAGAAATTGTTATTTACGCGGTGTTAATAGTGCCGTATAAATGTTACCATTAGTTACTTTTGAAGCCCTGCGTGATCTTTATGCAGGTATTTTGTCTTGTAGCGTTTTGACGCCTTTGATTTGCAACAGTTTAGTCTACCAGTTCGGCAAAAAGTTTACGCAATGTTAGTTTTACACAGGTTGGTCGCGTAAGCTTAGCACCACATAATTCTTAGCACCACATGAGCTTAGCACTGTGTGATCTTAGCATTGTGTAAACATGCCTTTATCTATATTGAGCTAGTTTTGATCCAATTCTTGCTCCGCATAGGCTCGGGACTTCGTGACTTTGCGTTCTTAGCCCCTTACGGGTCCATGTTGTCATGTTGAACCTTTTGTCCATTTTGGAATGACCATTCTACCCTTCACGGGCCCCTTTGTGATGTTATAGAATACTTGATCAATGGTTTGACATTTTTACCCGTCTACATTGATTAGTTGGTATCAATTTAAGTCATGAGTTGCTTACCATTAAGGAAATAAAATCATAAGTTAATGTGACATTTGGTTATTTGAAATAAATAAATTCATAAGTTACAGGTATGTGCGAGAGCATGATTTTTCTATATAAAGGCGTGGAAACCTATTCCTAAGTAACCCAAAAACAAAATTGAGCTACTAAAATGACAGATTTGTTTGGTGTAAATAGTTCATCACTTTTTTAAAGACTAAAGGCTAAAGGTATAATTGGATTCATCAAGAGCATTGCTATGGGAAGCTTTTGAGGATTTTGTATTTGAGAAACTTTTGTTAGATAACATATCATGTTTATCAAACTCATGTATGCCATGTGTCTTATTTAACTAAAATTATTTTCCCTAATGAAAAGTATAATTTATTCCCGATATGATTAGAATCACCTACAAACTTTCAGCACGATATAGGATAATAATCAACCAAGAGAAGTTACAAGAAATAGCACAATGTGGTACTAAAGTTCTTTTTTTTTTTCGGCATGCATATTCTTCTCATAGTTAAGACCTCCCCTCACCCATGCCCTTTTTTCTTCTAGAAGGTACACTGCTGAGTGTGCCTGAGCACCTAACTCTTACTCTGTCCATGATCTTTGTACGAACTACCAACTACATAGATCCTCTTGTTAATTAGTAATAGCTATAAATAAATTTCCACGCAATTCTTGCTCGGTGCCAAGCTCCTCATGCTAATGTTCTACAATTTAGTTTATCACATAATAATTATTTTATTTTATAAATTACAGTTCTTACATTCAAGAATCAAAAACTGAATTATAATAGAGGACCTATATTATGCTTTCCATTCACATTCTACTCTAGTATATCATTTCCATCTTTTTTCAGTACGCAACTATTTCATTCATTTCCCATGCAGCTGAGCTTTATGATTATACTAGTTTTATGCAAACAACTCTCCAAACATCTATACATGTCAACTAGGTTATCCTCCCTTTTCCTCACAACTAGACACCAAGAAATCAATTCATATGGCCTGTTCTTTTGGAGGATAACCTGTGGCCTATTTTAGTCCAGGCCTGATGCCAACAGGCTCTGCCTTATACTCTACCAAACGGAACATTCTAATCAAGAACCTAAACTTTTGAGTGAAGCCCACATCTGTACAATTAGCTTTCCCTTCAGGCTCACTAGGTTCTAGTAATCATATAATATCCAAGTACACTGACATGTACTCCACTCACTCTCATCTTCTAGAATATACTATGAGAAATTAGGAAGAAAAATCAGCAAAAGCTAGATAAACTTAAAACAATTCTGGTATTAATGATATGCTACCTATCTGAAGAACTAGCAGGCGGAGAGGAACATACCTTACTCCTAGCTTCAGATTGCATCTTCTCTGCCTCCAAAGCCTTTTGCTTCTGTTCTAATTTAGCATAGAACTAGAACAACATATGGATATAAATAAAATCAATAAAGAAATGTTCTTTTCAAGTGGCAAAAAACCTCGTAAAAGAAATTGAAATAGAGCTTACCTCTTTCCGCTTCACAGCACGCTCACCACATTTAAAAACAGGGGCAGTTGCCAACGTCGTCCTAGCTTTATGAGATCTTAGAGAAGCTGCAATTCTATGTATCATTCAGGAAAACTTGATATCCATTTATTTTATTAGAAGATAAAAATAATGAAAGTTGTAAAACCAAAACAGAGAAGCAGTCAGGATACGAAACAGGAGAGCAAGGATCCTCATCCGTGTTTGTTCCATTATCAGATTGTAAAGGCTTCCTAACTTTATGGTTTGGGATTCCCTGTAATGACTAGTGCAAAGTACCATGATCAGTACGAATTGTAGCATCTAAAAGTTTGAAATAGTTTTAAAACTCAATATGTTTAAACTGTACTTATAATATCTCTCTAGTGCAGATAACTGAAATTTGGTTTGATCAGCAATATATGATTGGACGGTATTTACAAGAGAGATGAAGCGTACACAAGGAGGGGAAGAGGGATAAGAAGAAAAAACACCTTAGATTTCTTTGGTGTGTCAGTTACTTGAATAATTTTCATTTTAGCAGGCTTGTTTCCATTTGAAGCAGAAGCTGCAGAAGGCTGGTAACCAGCTGAAGCACGTCGTTCAGTAGCAGGAGGAAATGGGTGAGAAGCAGTGTGATGAGTCCTTACTGTTGTATCAGATCTGTGTACAGATTTAATGGGGGAATCTGACTCTTCATAATTGGTTGGATCCTGACCTTTGGGATTCAAGTCCTTTGCAATCAATGCATCTTGATGGGCAGGAAATACTTCTACTGGAGAGGTGAGAATGCATTCCTTTACGTCAGACTCCTTTGATTCTTTCCATTCTTTTGATTCCTTTGTTTCACTAGCCTTGCCAAAAATCCTAGGACCCCAAAGGTCTTTTCTAGCTCCACCAGATTCATCGACTGAAGGAGATTTAGAATGGAGACCATGGACTTGATTGGAGGTGCCATTTTCTGTAGATATCACTGCAGAGTCTGATTGTTTATCAATAGGTATATTTATAACTTCTGTTCCCATAGGCCTACAGGAAGCGAAAGAGATATATCATGTTGCCTCCTTATGATGTACTAAGTTGGCAGATCAGAAGGAAATAATGTATGACCTTTGGAGTATGAGGAAGAAAAAGGAAAGTTCACAGAAAGAACTAAAATACAGAACAGAGATTGGTCTACAGGAATGATATTTCATATTTCAAATGTTTCATTAAGATGAAATCATAAAAATGAGTGTAGTTTGGGGTTCCTACAGGCAGATTGAAACTTTTTCCTCATGACAAAATAGGTCGAATCGTGACAGATATAGGAATATGCACAAATAGATGCATGCATGCATGCATCCTTCCATCCATCCATCCATATATACATAAATACTTGCATAAGTATGTATACGCACATAGCATGCACATAGCATGCACATATTTGAGCATGTTTTAAGTACATGCATGTATATTATGTACATAAACTTATATTATGTATACCCACATGGCATGCACATATTTGAGCATGTTTTAAGCACATGCATGTATATTATGTACATAAACTTATATTATGTATACCCACATGTGAAAGAAACATCTGATACTGTAAGGTTAGATGGCCTGATAAAACTCCACAGGAGTCAAAATAAAGCTAAGGTATTAAAACAAAATTCTTCTTCTCATAAAGATGGATTATATATAAAAGCAACTAGAAACATGCATCATTATCCATCCAGATCAAATTAGAAATTAATAAGCGGCACATGAAACTAAAAGAAGATTCAAGTTTTGCTATGTGTATGTGCATGCGATCCTACTCACATTGATAAATTAAACTGAGCCGATTATTTTGGAGTAAACTGAAGCAAGAAAAAAGTAATATCTGTTTAGTTCTGTTATGTGTGTATGTGCATGCAATCATGCTTACATTGATAAATTAAATTGAGCCTACTGTTTTGAGGTAAACTGAAATAAAAAAGAAATTAAGAAAAAAGTGATTTGTTTTCATTACTTTCTCCAAAATTTTGAAGATTACAGAAATGCCGCTTTTTTGTCATGAACTTCATGCTAAAGTGTCAGAAGGTACAAAGATATTGCCTCGTTACATTTTCACATTTTATATTCCAGCCACCATCTCCTACTGTAAAATCCAAAGTAATTTTATGTCAAAAAAGTGATATAAGTTTCTATTCTCAAAGACGAAATCTTCAACTGACAACAAGATTATTAGTAACTACAGATATCCATTCAGTGAGCAACAGGAGTCGTCAAACTTATAGGATCATTAGTTCAACAAGTTTGCAACATCCGGGATACAAAATGAGTTGTAGACTGGGATACCCAATTGATAACATCTTAGTAATTCTATATAAGGATTTGACATTTTTTTAAGCTGCAGGATTTAAATAATGAAGTAGAACATCCTCCTGACCTTGATTTTTTGCATCCGTACATATGAGAAGATATGTATATGTATATGTAAGTGCAGATGCATGCTGCATGTTCATACACGTGTATTTAATACATCAGCGCTTAATCATCATCATCATCATCCACCTCCCTCTTCTAAACCTTTCAGCCATGATTAGTAGACTAGACATGAGTACCATGTCTATACGAGGTGTCAGACATGGCGATCATCAAAAATCCAGTTTCAGGATCACTGCTATTTATTTGTGTTTTGTCTGGATAATGTATATCCAACTATATACAAATGCATCCGTGAAGTTATCCATACGCAAACATCATAATTTCAGTAAATTTATATACAAAATGATAATCTTTTGTCGAGAAAAGGTACCATCTCATATATGATATATATGACCTTTGAGGTAAATACCATTTCAGACAATTGCAAATGTTAAATGCAGATGGATGCGTGTGTTTAGGTCTCTCGAATATACTAATCTCTTAGTCTTACTAGAGAAGTATCCTTATGTATCATTAGCCTTTTTTATCAAAATGAGATGAACTTTCAAACCGAACTCCATACTAGGAGGCTTTTTAACCAAACTCTCAATAATCCTATTCTAGCGTAATAATAAGTTAATGACATCAACCCTCGCTAAATTATGAGCCCAATGCCACATTAAGAAGGCTTCATGAGACTTTTGGGACTATCCTAAGACCAGTTGTTAGCCACTTACTATCAAAGGACCCTAGCCCTACACCAAAACTCCAAAGTTGTCGTTTGAGGGTTATAAGTTTATATTCTAACATGCCCCCGCAAGTTGAGGACCCTTTTGGGCAAAGAGTGGACTCACGCAATGGTTCATTTTTTTTTTCAAAAATATCTGCTTATAAATTTGTGGCCAACAATCGAACCCGGGTTTCTTTGGTGTGGAGGAGAACTTGGAAAAAACAGTTTTTTGGTCATAAGTCGACTCATGCACAAGCATAAGTCGACTTATGGTAAGTCGACTTATGTTTGTGTCGTAAGTCGACTTACGATCTACTCTGGATTGTTAATTTTGGGCTCTGGCAAGTCGACTTATCAGGTCTGATAAGTCGACTTATGATCTCTTCTCCAGTTGTCGTTTTTCGCTCTGCCAAGTCGACTTATGCAGACTGATAAGTCGACTTACGACGGGTTTTTTGGAAAGTTCGGGTTCCTATTTGCAGTCTGTTTGGGTTTCTGTTTTGGTATAAATACCAATACGATTTGAGGGTTTTGTAGGAGCGTTTTGGGGGATTTTGAGCACAAAAAGAAAGATCTTTCTGAGCTATTTGTTAGGGTTATTGGTTGAGAGGTTGAGAGATTTGTTGGTGAGATTAGTTGGTTCGTTTGAGCGATTTGTAATCTCAATTTGTACTCTCCTTCTCTATTAGTGGAAACCCTCCCCCTTCTTGCCCCGTGAACGTAGGCAATTGCCGAACCACGTTAAAATTGGTGTTTGATTTGTGCATTGATATTTGGTTGTTTTTGGCCTTCTTGGATCGGCGTTTGTTTTGGTTCCTCAGTGCCGCCGTCAGCACAACAAGTGGTATCAGAGCTCGGGCTACGCTTGGGCTATTTGGAGGAGTAGATCGCTTTGGAAGTTCATCTAGGGCTTCGTTTGGTGATAAAGGTGGGATCTTTTTGGTAAAAATCTCGTCTTTTTCAGTTTGGATCTATTTCTCGTTTGTTTCCGCATTGGTTTGGTGGTGCTTTGAGGATTATGGCCGAGAAAGAAGGAGTTGTGGGCAGTACTTCCGACGTGAAGACCGTCCAAAGCTTGAATATCCACTCAATGAAGATTGACGTTGAAAAGTTCAATGACACAAACAATTTTGGACTTTGGCGATGCGAAGTCATGGATGCGCTCAACGCGCAAAATTTGGAAGATACGTTGGAGTTGATCGGGAAACCGGACAATATTGATGAGAAGGTTTGGAAAAAGATGAATCGAACGGCGTGTGGTGTGATTAGGTCTTGTCTCACTCAAGATCTAAAGTATGATGTGATCAATGAGCCTTCTGCAAAGAAGATTTAGGAGATCCTTGAGAGCAAGTATTTGACCAAGAGTGTGGAGAATCGCTTGCATTTGAAGAGGAGGCTTTATCGCTTCCAGTTGAAGAAAGGAACCTCCATTGGTGATCACATGAACCACTACACGAAGCTTCTTTCGGATTTGGCGAATGTAGATGTGGTGATTAAAGATGAGGACAAGGCGTTGTTGTTGTTGAGTTCCTTGCCCGACGAGGAATATGAGACCTTCGTTCTTACTCTTATTAATGGGAATACATCTCTTTCGTATAGTGAGGTCATCGCTGTACTTGTGAATTATCAGCTTCGAAAGAAGGATAAGAAGACTTCGATTGAGCCGATAGCAGGGGCGTTGGTCGCAAGAGCAAAGGGTCCAAACCGTAGTGGGAGGTCACAGTCTAGAGGGGCACATCTTGAAGTTCGTAAGAATCAGTGTGCCTTTTGCAAAGAGGATGGACATTGGAAAGCCGAATGCCCAAAGTTAGTTGATCGAACCGGAAAGAATAAGGGAAAAGCTATTCAAGCTTCAGAGGCGAATGTTGTCAAGGTAAATGGCAACGATTCAGATTCGGATTCTTCGGGCTACTCGTTATCTACACTGCCGTCAGTTTGTGTTGCCTACTCTACAGAGTGGATGTTGGATTCGGGGGCTACATACCACATTTGTCCTAGGAGGGATTGGTTCTCCAGCTTTTAGGAGTTGGAAAGAGGGGATTTCGTGCTCATGGGGAATGATCACAAATGCTCTATTGGTGGTATCGGTACCGTTCGGATCAGGATGAGTGACGGGGTGATTCGGGAGTTGGTTGGAGTGAGGTTCGTTCCTCAGTTGAAGAAGAACATCATTTCACTTGGAGCTTTGGAGGCAGCAAGCTATAGGGTGACCTTGGTGGATGCACGCTTGAAGGTTACATTTGGGTCCACGATTGTGATGAAGGGCGTCAGAAGGAGAAATTTATATTATTTGCACGGAAGCACGGTGATTGATAAGGAGATGACGACTTCATCAGATTCGGCTAGACTGTGGCATTGTTTGGTGCTGGGGTATATGATTGGTAATGCCGTACATTGGTTGTTGAGGAGTGATATGACTTGCAGATTGAAGTCCTGTGAGCACATTGGGATGAGCAAGACCGTGGTGGAGTTTGGCACTCCTATCCATCGAGCAAGGGGTCTTTTAGGAGGTGTTCAGTCAGGCATTTGGGGGCCTTCCAAGGAGGCATCATTGGGAGGTAATCGTATCTTGGTTTCCGCAGTTGATGATTGTTCTAGGCATTATTGGGTCGCGACCAGTTTTCGTTGGTGTAAAGTCCTAGAAGTCAACAGCAATTGGAAGAAGTGTATTGGCAGAAAGGTAACTCGTTGTTCTAGATTTGGTAGGGGTCCTTTCTTGCGTTGTGCTGAGCTCATGGCAACTTGAAACACTTCATTGATGTGGAGACTTTGGGGCGACGAGATGAGATGACAGTTTCGATGGGTCGTTCCTTTCTGGAGGAGGATCGGCGTTGGTTGTCGAGCATTGGTTCTGGAGCTTCGACATATTTGGGTCATCTTAGTCACAGGTCGCCGACTGCTGCATTAGGAGTTATTGGATCTGGTGGAGCTGCTTCAGATTTTGGGTTGCGTCGGATATTTGGATACCCAACATTTGGTCACATCGAGGATGTAAGATTTGATCTGATTGCGCGTTTGGGGTTCGGAGGCTCAGTTGATTATTGTTTGGGAGCTTCTGATTTTGTTTTGAGCAGGTATGTCACTTTTGACTCTCGGCAGGTGGAGAGTGTTGATCAGGTCGTTTGGATATCGCAGCAGGTGGAGAGTGATGCTACTCCACGTTGGGTGGAGATTACTCCACGTACTCCACATCATACTGCGTCATTTGGATTCCAGCTGAGGTGACACAGGTTGGGGATCATTTGATTTCGGATGCAGATGATGGATTGGTTTTGGATTCGGTTGCAGCTGGTAGACATGATTTGGATACGACCATTGGTTCACCTCATATGGAGGTGTTTGATTTGTATCAGTTTGGGGCCGCTATCAGTTGCAGATCCGTCGGCGATATTAGGGAAGAGTTACGTACTTTTCTATTTGTTTGAGGGCCTTTGGAGACCGTTTGGGTGAACTACGTGAAGGCTTGATTCCTTGGGTTGAGGGCCTTTGGAGACCGTTTGGGTGAACTACGTGAAGGCTTGATTCCTTGGGCAAGAGGATACGTATGCAGTCTTTATGATGCAGCCGATTTGGTGAGCGACATCGACATTTGGGGTGAGTGTTCGCACTCCCATTTGGGTCTCAACACGTGAGGCATTTGTTTGGTTAGTGTCGGCTCAGTTTTGGGAAAACTTCGCCGAGGTGGAGAATTGTAGAGGAGAACTTGGAAAAAGCAGTTTTTTGGTCATAAGTCGACTCATGCACAGGCATAAGTCGACTTATGGTAAGTCGACTTATGTTTGTGTCGTAAGTCGACTTACGATCTGCTCTGGATTGTTGATTTTGGGTTCTGGCAAGTCGACTTATCAGGTCTGATAAGTCGACTTATGATCTCTTCTTCAGTTGTCGTTTTTCGCTCTGCCAAGTCGACTTATGCAGACTGATAAGTCGACTTACGACGGATTTTTTGGAAAGTTCAGGTTCCTATTTGCAGTCTGTTTGGGTTTCTGTTTTGGTATAAATACCAATACGATTTGAGGGTTTTGTAGGAGCGTTTTGGGGGATTTTGAGCATAAAAAGAGAGATCTTTCTGAGCTATTTGTTAGGGTTATTGGTTGAGAGGTTGAGAGATTTGTTGGTGAGATTAGTTGGTTCGTTTGAGCGATTTGTAATCTCAATTTGTACTCTCCTTCTCTATTAGTGGAAACCCTCCCCCTTCTTGCCCCGTGGACGTAGGTAATTGCCGAACCACGTTAAAATTGGTGTTTGGTTTGTGCATTGATATTTGGTTGTTTTTGGCCTTCTTGTATCGGCGTTTGTTTTGGTTCCTCGGCGCCGCCGTCAGCACAACATTTGGTACCATTTCAAAGGATCTTGCCACTACACCAAAACTCCAAAGCTGTGGGTTGAGGGTTATAAGTTTACATTCTAACACTTACCAACCCCCACTCCTATTTGGTACCAAAATACATGTCCAGTTAAAGCATGCGCAAGAGATGAGCTTCATAAGATTTGACAAGTCAAAATTAAGCTCACGCATATTCTCAAAAAAATTTAAACTCATGCAACCAACCAAGGAGCAATCATGTAACTGCAATCATCCAATAGGCATTGTCCCCATCGGGTATAGATTTGATCATAACAAACAAAAATGAAAAGAAATATTATCATTAGCCGAACAAGAAACCAAAATTAAAAAATTAAGCATAGAAATGAGATTGAATTGCATGGCACCTCGCCTTTAGAACGAATTCCTTCCCACCGTCCCAATTCACTCTATTACTGAAGAAGCTGAAAAATGGTTGGAGCGCAAAATTATTTTCATATGTTTCGAAATACATCCTTCAATTACAAAATCAATCAAATAGAAGACACGAAATTTTTTTATCAAATAATAATCAGAATAAAAAAGGAAAATTCTTGCCAGTAAAGAAATCATTTCACAATTTAGCAACAAAATCTCCAAAAATACCTAATTTTTATCAAATTGAACATGGAAAAGGAGATTAGTTTGAAGGAAATGGGGAAATTTTCTTACTATTTTTTTTTTTCGAAACCGCGACCGATTTTGAAGGATTTACGAGGCTCGACAATCTCGCTCCAGCAGGGGTACTTATAGCTGGCCTCCACATAACGGCCGTTAAGTGACGGCCGAAATATTTGCAAGGTAATAAAAGCGGGGTCCAGTCGTCACGTTTTCTATACGTCGTCGGACGCTGTATTACGCGTCGGAGCGAGTGAACGTGGCATCGAGTATTTCGAGCTATCCATTTATTAGCTGTTTCATTTTTATTTTATTATAGGGTTCTCTCCCATATTTACCGCCTCACATCATTTAGAAAAATTCTTAGATGCTCCAAGACGATCGTAAATTCCATCAAAACACCCCCATCACGTGAGGTGTTGTGACAAGGCAAGAGGAGCATTAAATATGATCACTGCCCCCTTCTCTCCAATCCTCCGGTTCAGAGCGCCCTAACCGTGTTGGGGGGCATTCTGATAAAACCTGGACTCCTCTATGACCATCATGTGGCATACACCACAACAATCGGAGTATGTCTTGTAGCACAAAAAATTTATTTAAATTCATGATCTTAATATTTACATGTGATTTGCACCACATGGCTGACTCTTATCAATTGGTTACTTAGATATTCATATTTAAATCTTTGATTTAAATCCATCAGATCTTTAAAATCAATATTTAGTCCCTGAAATCCTACAAATTACATTGAACAAGTTAAGCTGTTAATAATTTTTCCAATCGATTATAGTTGAATTAGTGCTTAGTCAAGGATAGTAAATGATAGAACCCTTTGGCGGTCAACCTATCTAAACTCACTTCCCTACCTTCCTTTTGCCTAACTTATCAGATTGGTATTGGCTCCGGCAACAATAAGGTATAAAAAGTAACCTCATTTAGCCAAGAAGACATACATGATCGCAACGACGAGATTTAAGCAGCAAATTAATAGTTTTTTTTGAATTTACACCCTTCAAATCTCCTATATTTAAAATGTTACCCCTAAATCTTGATTTTTTTTCTCCAAAAATAAATCTCTATCCTGATCAATATATCATGCCTCTCCCTCTCCCCTCTCCTCCTCTCCCACCTCATTTCCTCCCCCTTCACTCCCTCACCTCTTACACCATCACTCAATCTCCCTTCGCTGTTCCCTTCTTCACCCCTCCTTTAACTTCTTCTCCAAGGTTGACAGTTCACACAAGAGTCGATAAAAATTGTATTACGGCGGTATGACGATGTCAAGGTCATGACTGAACTTGAAGATAGCAATATGAAATATTAAAGTGGAGGAGAATGATGGAAGAGAGAAGGATGAAGGAGAACAAGTGGTGAGAGCTAGTGTTGGAGGTTGTGATAATGCGTGAGGCGAAACATAATCAACGACCATGTGAGGGAGGTGTTGGAAATGGGTGTAGATCCATACCTGTCAGCGGTGAAATCAAGGAGAGCTTCAGGCGAGTCGAACAGGCAAGGGCGATGTTCTGCTGGTGAGTTCGAAGTCGACGCGAGATCCATGCGGGATCTTACAGGCGGAATTCAAAGAGGCTGATGGCGAGCTCGAGATCTCACATGCAGGCGATTTCGCGAAGTGCTGCAGGCGAGGTCTACTGCAGGCGAGATCACGCGTCGGGGGCGAGCTCGAAATTTCGCCTCCCCTTGTCTTCACCTGCTACGGACGTGGAGGTGAAGGGGATTCGCCTGCGGCTGTTGGGAAACAGCTGGACACATCTGTTCTGGCCCCTAGGGTTCTCCTATAAAAGGAGAACTGTGCACGAGAAGAAACTTGAGAAGAATCTCAGAGCAATTTTTTGAGAGTTGGGTGGCGGCGTTCTTTTCGAGCTCCTTCTTCTCCTCCCCGATCTTTTGAGCACGAGATTTCAAGTGAAATCTCGGTTATTAAAGAGAGTTCCTGTAGCAGATTTATTGAGCAGAGAGGAGATTTCCAAGTTGGAAAATCTCAGCGCCTTTTGTTTGAACAACAGATAGTTTTCTGTTGGTTCCTTCTTGAGAGATCTCAAGTTTGAGATCTGCTCTTTACAAGCTTTGTAATCTTCTTTAATATAAAGAAAATTATTTGTGTGGCTCCTGAGGACGTAGGCAAGTTGCTGAATCTCGTTAAAAACTCGGTGTTATCTGCTCTTGTATTTTTTGATTTGTTGTGATTTCTTTTTTCTATTACTTAATACAAGATCCAGTAGGATAAATTCCACAGAACGGGTGTCAGAGCGTATCTGATATATTTTCCTAACAACTGGTATCAGAGCCCTTGTTCATATCTGTGTGTGTAAGAAATTACAGAAGAAGGCAAATCAAAAATTAAGAAGTTTGACGAATCAGACTTCGCCTACTGGAAGTCACAGATAGAGGACTATCTGTACCAGAAGGATCTTTTCCGTCCGTTGATGGGTAAAGCAAGAGGAAATAAGAAAGAAGAATCCGACGAGGACTGGGAAATATTGGATCGAAAAGCCCTGGGGCAGGTCCGATTAGCCCTCGCAAAATCTGTAGCACACAATATATTAAAGGAGAAGACGACGGTAGGACTTATGGAAGCGCTCGTAACGATGTACGAGCAATCATCAGCTGCAAATAAGGTGCATCTCATCAAGACGCTATTCAATCTCAAGATGACAGAAGGATGTTCCTTTATGATGCATCTCAGCGAGTTCAACATGATTGTTGATCAACTTATCTCAGTCGACATCAAGTTTGATGACGAAGTACAGGCCCTATTAATACTATCGCAGTTGACGGATAGTTGGGCAGGTTGTGTGACCGCAATCAGCAACTCGACGGGGAAGAAGAAGTTAAAGCTGAAGGAGGTGGTAGCTATAATTCTATCCGAGGAGGTTAGAAGAAAATCGAATGAATCAAAATGTTCAGGTTCAGCCCTAAGTCTCGAGCAGAGAGGCAGAAGCCATAATAGGGGGAACCAAAACAGGAGTCGATCAAAGTCGAAAAAGAAGAGGTCGAACTCGAAGGTGAGACCTATCAAGGGGAAATGTTGGAACTGTGGGCAGGAGGGACACATGTTTTCTACCTGTAAAGCACCAAAGAAAAATGAGCAGGAGGCTTATATTGTGCAAGATGCATTGATTCTCGCTATGGATAGCGATTGCGATTCATAGGTCATTGATTCGGGAGCCTCTTTTCACGCCACTACTAATAGAAGGCTATTTCAGAACTATGTAGCAGGGGACTTTGGAAAAATATACTTGGGAGATAATGAACACTGTAGTGTCATTGGAAGAGACGACGTGCAAATACAGTTGAAGGGCTCCAAGTGATCTCTGAAGAACGTCAGACACGTACCGAAGTTGAAGAGGAATCTTATTTCGGTTGGCCAACTTAGAACAGAAGGCTATGTTACAATATTCACCGGAGATTCGTGAAAAATCTCCAATGGTACAATGGTGGTTGCCCGAGGCAACAAGATCGGTACCCTCTACCTAACTTCACACGCGAGTAAAACCCTCGTGATTGCTGCAGGCAATGAGAGTGCAGATCTGTGGCACAATAGGCTGGGACACATGAGTGAGAAGGGTATGAAGATTCTACACTCATAAGGAAAGCTAACCGGCATCGATTCGGTGGAAGTCAGTGTTTGTGAAGACTGCATCTTCGGGAAGTAGAAGAGAGTTAGTTTTCTGAAGGGTGGAAGACTACCTAAAGCTCACAAGCTAGAGCTTGTTCATACAGATGTATGGTGTCCAGCTAGTGTGTCTTCTCTTGGCGGGTCAGCATACTACATCACCTTTATCGACGATCACTCGAGGAAGATGTGGGTATACTTCATGAAGCACAAGTCAGAAGTGTTTAACATTTTCAAGAAGTGGAAAGCCATGGTGGAGAATGAGACAGATCTAAAAGTGAAGTGTCTGAGATCAGAAAACGGTGGAGAATATGAACTGGAGGAGTTCAAAAAGTTCTGTGCTCTGAACGAAATTTGTTTGGAGAGGACTACTCCAAGAACGCCGCAACAGAATGGTGTAGCAGAAAGAATAAACAGAACGCTGACAGAGCGTGCCAGGAGCATAATGCGTCTACATGCAGGTCTGCCTAAAAATTTTTGGGCGGATACAGTGCATACAGCAGCGTACCTGATATATCACGGGCCATCAGTTCCATTAAACTTTGGGATTCCGGAAGAGGTTTGGGGTGGTAAGAAGGTTAATCTCTCACACTTGAGAGTCTTTGGGTGCGTGGCATATGTCCACATCAGTGACCATGTCAGAGACAAGCTAGAAGCTAAATCACTAAAGTGTACAATATTCATTGGATATTGTATTGATGAGTTCGTGTATCATCTTTGGGATGAGAAGAACAGGAAGATAATCAGGAGCCGAGACACCATATTCAATGAAGAAGTGATGTACAAGGACATGGACAATGCCAAGACGAATCAAAACAGTAGGAGCAACACTACGGATGCGGACGCATCCGAGTACATGGATTTGGAAGAACTTCCAGATAGGGGAGACAACGTTAATTCTGACCGTAGAACGGAGGAGACTCAAGGTGCAGAACCGACTACCCAGGGCAAGGAGCTTAGGAGGTTATCTAGGGTACCCAAACCGAATCCCAGGTATCTCTCGTCACTAGACTACCTACTTTTGACAGATAGCGGAGAACCAGAATGCTATGAGGAGGCTATGCAAGTGAGCAAATCTCAGCAGTGGGAGCATGCAATGCAAGAAGAGATGGATTCTCTTCACTCGAACGAGACATGGGAGTTAGCCCAGCTACCTGTACAGAAAAAGGCCTTACATAACTAGTGGGTTTACCGAGTCAAGCAGGAGAGTGATGGAAGGAAGAGATACAAGGCCAGATTAGTCGTGAAGGGGTTCCAATAGTGGGAAGGAGTGGATTATACGGAGATATTTTCCCCCGTTGTGAAGCTCACAACCATCAGGGTGATGTTGAGCTTGATAGCTGCTGAAAATCTCTACCTTGAGCAGTTAGATGTGAAGACTGCCTTTCTTTATGGCGA